TTCAGGCAACTGAACATGTTGAACAAGGATGAAAGCTAAGGTGCTCCATTATTCCCTTTTCCAGTGTGTTATCAAGATTTATCTTATCCACGTTTTCATTGTAGATGTACATGAAAAAAAAAAAAAAAAAAAAAAAGGAAAAGAAGAAAACACGAAGTTCCCAAGCGCTTTCGTGTAATTCACATCTTCAGGGTGAGTACAGTCTTTCCTTTTGGTTATCAGCATATACCTAGATCACGCGCAACTACAGTGATTTACTTGCATATATATATATATATATATATATATATATATATATATATATATATATATATATATATATATATATATATATATATATATATATATATATATATATATATATATATATATAATTAAAATGTACTTGGGATTAAGAAAGTTATATATAAAAACGTCTGATTAAACTCTTGGGATAAACCAAGTCTGACACACTGGTACAGTAAGCCCCATGTACCCGGTACTTGTAATGTCATTTGGGCTGGTAAGAGACAATTAAAACTTAATGTACGATGCTCAAAAGGTAATTTAGAAGATTATGTGTACTGGGTAATAACACTTTGTCATGTTAAGTGCAATGAAAAGTATATCGGTGTGAATGTGTTTAATGAAGCTCGGTGGCCGTTGTCTCTCAAGAACTGTTTACATTATTGCATCAGATCCTAGAAGTTATATACTGGTTTGTTCATGTTGCTACCTGTTCTTATGAGATGTTATATCGTAATATTATCCTCTGCTATAAGAAGTGGTTAAGGTTACGATATCGGAAACCTTTGGCAATAGGGTTAACATTCTAATAACTAACAATACAATTTTGGTCACTACTCAAGTCGTTAATGCTCCATTATCGTAAAGGTTAACTATTAACTCTGAACTATTGCTTAACGATAATCATTGTGTAGAATTCCAATGAGAGATCGTATTCCCTTCCCTTTGATAACGTAAAGGGCATATGTCTCCCACGTAAGAAGGAGAGGAAGTGGCTGCCAGTCTGCCACAAGTCTGAGGTGATAATGTAAACACGAAACAAATGACGAACGAGATGAGCACGACACTAAGGCTAGATCACTAGTCCTGCACTTCTGTGATATTCGACTACTTATTTCTTTACTTGTGTTGACCGCCATAATCACCCCGGAATAAGTTAAATCATCGACATGAAAATTACAGGTAAAATGTAAGATGTTTTATTTATGCCACGAAAGGAAACGCAAAGTGAAGTAAAAAAACGAGAAAGTAAAGACGAATAATGGGAGTTAATAATAAGATAAATATGGAACAAATGACGAAACCAAAGGGCGTGACACAAACATAAACATTACATAACCCAATTAAAAAAAATCTAAATGACATGAAGCCACACGACACAATTGTAAACATTAAGACAAATGAGAAACGTGATGCGCACAACTCCACAGGGACAACAAATAAGATTAACACACACACACACACACACACACACACACACACACACACACACACACACACACACACACACACCCACACCCACACACACACACACACACACTGCAACAAGGTAAACAAGAGGCTCAGACAGAAGGGTGAAACGCGAGACTCCTGACCAAACACCACTAAGAGGACTCTATAAACAAAGTCCTCCCCCAACTTGATAACTTGATCTACTTTGCATAACTACATCAAGAGCTGACGGTAGGCGGAGGTGTCTACGAGGAGACGGGGCTGAAGTTTCTACCAAGTTGCTGATGCTGCTGTATCTACCTCACCCACATACATACATTAGTTTGTAAAGGATGAGATAATAATAAGAATACTGTAGTTATAATTCAGTGATAAATATTCAATAACAGGGTTTTGTGGGGCTTTGTGGAATTTTATGAGGTTTTATGGGGTTTTGTGGAATTTTGTGAGGTTTTATGGGGTTTTGTGAGGTTTTGTGGAATTTTGTGAGGTTTTATGGGGCTTTGTGAGGTTTTGTGAGGTTTTGTGGAATTTTGTGAGGTTTTGTGAAATTTTGTGAGGTTTTATGTAGTTGTCAATATCTCATTAACCATCACACATATACTACACCATAATTAACAAAGGCAAACGCTTAAAAGATAAGAAAATACTGTACCTTCCACACCGAGAGACACACGATTAAGACCTTCCCTTTAACTTTTCTAATATCTAGCAGGAGATGACAAAACATATTTCCCAGGCTTTAAAACGACGATGAAATTCTTTCCTGGACGTCAAAGGGATGATAAACAACTTTTCCCTCAATTTTAAAAGGATAATGACAGGACTACACTACACAGTATGTCCAATGGCGGTTTCTCTCTCTCTGGAATGACTCACTGATGACCTGACCTTTTGACCTTCTGACCTTGACATGTCACAGAGGTACAAGGATATCAGTGCCTCCTCCTCCCTCCTTCATGTTTGTCTGTCATCCTTTGGTGGGCTGCAGTGTTGACAGGTGGACAGTGAGAGACAGGTAGATAGATGAAGAAGGCCATGAGAGACAGATATAGACAGAGTGACAACATGTCGACGGATAGAAAAAAGAGAGAGAGAGAGAGAGAGAGAGAGAGAGAGAGAGAGAGAGAGAGAGAGAGAGAGAGAGAGAGAGAGAGAGAGAGAGAGAGAGAGAGAGAGACGCGTAGACAGTGAATTAGACAGGACAGGTCCGGAGATAGACGGACTAAAATGGAGACAAATTAACAAATACAAAAAAGAAAATATTTATAAACAAAACAGAAAAAACAGAGATAGACAGGGACAAAAAAAAACGATACAAAAGAAGATAAATAAATAAACACACACACACACACACACACACACACACACACACACACACACACACACACACACACACACACACACACACACACACACACACACACACACACACACACACACACACACACACAAGACAAGAAAAAGAGGTAAGTAAAAATGAAATGCTATGCAGAGCTGACAGAAGAGCACACAGGTAGATAGACAGACAGACAGACGCTATACCCATGAACAACACTCAAGACGGACATAGTGGTTTACCCGGTGTTGGCATTTCAATATACTGTTTGTAAATCTATGTTTAGAATCTCGTCCTTGTCACAAATTCTAATTAATACAATTAACGTGTAACAATGCATGATCCCTAATGTTAACAACACTATGAGTATAATGAATTAGTCCACTGAGGATAGTCATTTAACCCCCTGAGTATAATTAATTAGCCCAGTGTCGAAGATGATGATGATAAGAGTACGATGATTGAGCCCCTTGAGTACGATAACAACCCCCATGAGAACGATGACCATCCCCTGAGTACGATGACCATCCATAGATGACAACCCCAGAGAGTAACAACCCCATGAGTACGATGACAACCCCCATGAGTACGATAACAACCCCCCATGAGTACGATGACAACCTCTTTGCTTCAGTGTAGGTCCAGGTCAGCGTTTATTCCAGCATCCTTATACGATATAAATCTACGGGAGACTTAAACTATATATTACAGCCTTAAGACAACATCACCAGCCAGTGTAGTGATCACCTTACACTCTGTCTATAATGACCTGGGGAGTGAAGAGACAACGCACTGTACACTAAACGCTCGGTGTACTGTACAGTGAGGTGGGCACTGTACTTTACCGCCTACACCTTCCTCAATTAGGTGAATGCAACGTGGGGAGAGGGGGGGAGGTGGTCTTGGATGTGAACCAAAAGCCAAAGGAGAGGAGTGAGTGTTGTATCCACTCGGTCACCGCAGCCTTCGTAGTTATGCTTAATTTTGGTAACTTTACTATGATTATATTAAAAAATAAATATGTGACTAGCAGCCATCTTTCCCTCCCTGCCTTGAGTGATGTTATCTGCCACCTGGAAAAATATTGGACTCTTTTTGCTGGAGTTTAAATGTTTTTAATTAAATTTTGAAGAAAAAATCAAGAAAATGCGTCACCAATATTACCCTGGAAAACGGTCCTCTGGATATCTACTAATGTAAAAAAGCAAGTCATCTGCTCTACTTTGGGGTAATTGGACTGTCATTCCTAGTTTACTCTACTTATTAAACTGAATTACAAAACAAAAAACAGAACAGAAATCCATTGGTGTATCTAATTATGCGAGTGTAAGAAGGATGATAAGAATAGAGTGATCGACTTATGATAAATGAAAAGAATCTGCTTGAAGGAGAGTGAAGGAGAGTGAAGGAGTAGATGGCTGAGGACAGGTGAGGGGAGTAAAGCCACGGGTGCCTGGTGTTGTGGTGACGTAAAGAACTCAGGCACAGTATGATGAGGTATATAAAGTACAGTCCCAGAATACTATTGACCAGAGTACAAATGGTTGGTAGAGAGAGAGAAAAAAAAAAAGAGAGAGAGAGAGAGAGAGAGAGAGAGAGAGAGAGAGAGAGAGAGAGAGAGAGAGAGAGGCTGTCAATCCAACCATCCACCTCAACTTACTATCAACTTTCTATCATTCATTCACGTTCTATTCTCTCAAAACGTCCATTAAACCAACTTAAAAAATAATAAAAAAAATAAATAAATAAATAATAATAATAATAATAATAATAATAATAATTTTTTCTCCAACACCCCTTTTGAATACTCGTCTGATGACATTTGAAGCATTAGTAAAAAAAAAATATCAAAGGGGAATTATCATCATCTAAACACGTCAAATGATATCAAATCCAAGAATGCAATAAAAGATATGTGAGGTTGGTCTATTTACACTCGTCCAGGATAACAACAACAGATCAATGACCATCACTGTGGTTATCCTTCAGTTGTTATCGGTTATTAGGTCATGGTGTTATTGTAGATGTTGTTTTGTAAGGATGATGTTGACTCATGATGTGGTTGGGTCCAGAGTTCAATCAAGTATTAGTAGTTATCATTAGTTATTACCAGTTATTAATAGTTATCACTCATCATCACGGGTTTTCATTAGTTATCACCAGTTATCACCAACCTTTACCAGTTATAACCAACCTTTATCAGTCATCACAAACCTTCACCAAATACCATCACCTCAAACCTCCACCAGTCATCACCAGCTCCACCAACCTCCAGCAGTCAGCACCAACCTCCACCATCATCACCAGCCCCTACCAGTCATCACCAACCTCCAGCAGTCAGCACCAACCTCCACCAGTCATCACCAGCCTCCACCAGTCATCACCAACCTCCAGTAGTCAGCACCAACCTCCACCAGTCATCACCAGCCTCTACCAGTCATCACCAACTCCAGCAGTCAGCACCAACCTCCACCAGTCATCACCAGCTCACCAGTCACCAACCTCCAGTAGTCAGCACCAACCTCCACCAGTCATCACCAGCCTCTACCAGTCATCACCAACCTCCAGCAGTCAGCACCAACCTTCACCAGTCATTAACGTGTACTGTAGTGTGTAGAAGGTCAGGTGTACTGAGGGTGATTGAGATGCTTACTTGACCTTTAAATATAATTGAAAAAGCTTTGTGTTGTGATAAAATGTATCCAACTATTGGTATCACGTCGTGAGTGAAAGTTTGGTAAGGTTGATTTTTAGCCTTTGTGTTGTTAGTCTGGCTTTAAAATGATTCTACGTCTTACAGTCTTCAATAAGGCTTGCGACCAGCTGAGTCCTCATTAGAATCTAAAATCTACAAAAAATCATTCACTAGTTTTATTATGTTTTCCTGATTATATAATCCAAAGCTACCAGAAGGCTATATCCAAGGGTAGTGAAGGATTGGTCTTGTTTAATCCAGCGTTAAAATGACCATGCAAGTCTTTGTCAATTACACAGAGTTTTTCATGGACATTGGATCAAGAATTGGTCATCAGTTAATTGAATTCAACATTGCAAACCTACCCTCCAAGTAGAATCTACGACCTGCACAAACACTACAAATGTTGCTTGTTAATACACTGTTTGCAATCCTTATCCTACGTCAAGATGACTTTTGCAATAATTGGTCTAGCATCAATGTTTAATATTAATTTATCTTGACTTTAATAAAAAAAAATATTTAAGGCTTGTGAAATTGCCTATTGGGGTCAAGTTAATACACTGGAGCTCCTAATCTTCAGGTGATCACGGACGACACACACACACACACACACACACACACACACACACACACACACACACACACACACACACACACACACACACACACACTTACTTCCAATGTTCCTAAGGCAAGAAAGCTAAATTTCATCTTTACTTATTAAAGGATCGATCAACCATTTGACCAGACCAGACCAGACCAGACCAGACCAGACCAGACCAGACCAGACCAAACCAGACCAGACCAGACCAGACCAGACCAGACCAGACCAGACCAGACCAGACCAGACCAAACCAGACCACAGACCAGACTTGACCTAACCTGACCTATTATCATCACTGTCTCCATTGGTTAGGTCATCTAGGATCAAGGTGAAGTGACCATGTGAGTAGATATATCAAATAAGCCAATCAGAGTTAATCTCATCGAGGCTCTCTCTTGTTCTGAGCCAATCATATCACGCCTCGCTGCTCCAATAGGATGTGAGGGATGATGATATAAACAAAATAGTGGATCCAATAACAAACAGAAAACAAAATCAAAAGAATAAAAAAATAAAATAAAATTATATAACAAAAAACAACAGACGTACAAAAATTAAAACAAAACAAAATAAAAACAAAACCAAAAAAAAAAATAAATAAAACAAAAAGGAAACAAAAATTAAATAAAATAACGGAAAAACAAAAAATTAAAACAAAAATAAATAAAAATAAAATCCTAGCATCTCCCGGATCATTTCTGCTGTTGAGAGAGAGAGAGAGAGAGAGAGAGACTAATAACCCACTACCTTTCTTGGAATTACCCCGATAATAATCCCAATTATTTTACAGATTATGGCGGGTAATTATTCCTCATTATATAGAGTTTTAAAGACTTTAGAGTCCATGTTTTTGTTTTTTTTAAGAAGTGAAAAGATGTGTTGCCGGAACTCTCTCTCTCTCTTGACATCTTGAAATGGTTGTATACGTATATTTGTCTGTATGGCATAATATTTCTTCTTATAAAATGTCTGTCTGTCTGCCTGTCTGTCTGTCTGTCTGTCTGTCTATTTTGTTTATTTGTAAGTTGTGTTTGCCTCTATTTATACCTGTCTGTCTAATTTGTGTGTCTCTTTATCTAAATCGATTTGCTGTCTCATATTTCTGTCTGGTATGTCTGTCTGTCAGTTATGTTTGTCTTTTTGTTATGTTCATCTGTCTGTTGCACCTGTCTATCTTTCTGTCTGTCTGGCATGTTTGTCTGCTTCATATTCGTGTCTGTCTATCTGTCTGGTAAGTCTGTCAGTTATGTTTGTCTTTCTATTATGTATACCTGTCTGTTACACCTGTCTATTTTTCTATCTGTCTGTTCCATATTTGAGTCTGATTATCTGTCTGTGCGAGTAATTAGCATACAGGTGAAGGCAGTTACCTGGGTCACCTGTCCCTTACAATTTGGCCCAAATCTCCAACTATTTTCACCTGTCAGCTACGGTGAGGATTTTAATCACCTGTCTGTCTGTCTATCTGTCTATTTACGTCGCAGGGGGGAGGGGGACATAATATTTGGACAGCCTATTGCGTTATGTTAGTATGTTTGTCTGTCTGTGGTTCGATATGTTTGTGTGTGTGTGTGTGTGTGTGTGTGTGTGTGTGTGTGTGTGTGTGTATATGTATTTTTGTCAGTCTGTTTAAGACATAGGAAACGTTTACAACTTACGTGCTGTTATATATGAAGTTGGTGTTTCAAGTAAAATAAAAATATCTTTGTCTGTTTGTCTGTCTCTTATTACCTGGTTATCTTTCGTTATCTTTAATCTGTCTGTTTATCTCTTTCTCTCAATGTTTGGTTACCTCTCGCTATATCTAATTATCTTTATTTTTATGTCTCTTCCTTGCATTCACCTACACTTCTTCTTTATCCCTTCATTTCTAACATATAAAAACATATCTAACAATCTCACAGAACCAACGACCAAGAAAAAGAAGCTATCGTCCATTTTAAACTGACAATACACCATAACAAGATACCTTTTTCATCCTTAGTAAAGTTATAGGGAAGACCAAATTAACGTAAGAACTAATGAGAATCCAGTTACAAATCCAACAAGGTGTCTCCTCCAGTCAGTCAGTCAGTTACAGTCAGTCAGATACGGTCACATGCAACGTCCATCCAATCTCCATAATTGCATCGAGTTTTAATTTGCTCTCAGGACTCGATTCGATGCCCGGGCTTAATTCCATCTCCCAGTGATGACAATAGCATTTGATCCCTGTTTCCCTGGGTTAAAAAAGGGTGATAAGTAATCGATTAACTTGGACGGGAGAGAGAGAGAGAGAGAAAAAAAAAAAAAAGAGAGAGAGAATTATAATAAAACTACCGAATGGTTTTAGATGTGTAAGCGATCAAATTCCACCATCCAATCCTTGTACTGTAAGCGACCACTTCTATACCCGATATCTGTGTATGCCGCTGGTGATATTAGATAATTCACAGTTGATAGAGTGGGGCATTTGCATTATTAACATACGATTAAAGGGACCGTCGAAGGGGAAACTGCTTACAGTAGGTATTATGTAGTGTTTGGGTGAGCAATGTGCTTTGTGCTGTATGACGAATGTTGCAATTTTTTTTATATAGGGGTTTGAGAGGTATAGGGAGGGTAGGGTAGGGTAAGGTAGGGTAAGGTAGGGTAGGGTGGGGTAGGTAGGCAGGGTAGGGTAGGGAGTAAAGGTAGGTTATGTTAGGTTAGGTAAGGTTAGGTTAGATTCAGCTAGTTGTTGTTGCAATATTGTTGAGTTGACTGCAGTTTTTAATATAATTTCTGTTCCGTTTGTTTGTGTGTCTTCGTGGCAGCTGTTACTAGTCTACTATGCCTGTGTTTTTGTTTGTGTGTGTACCATAGTAGCGGTTATTGTTTATATATATTCTTTTGTTTAGTAATGTAGTTGTTTAGATGTGTGTGGCAGGAGATTTGTTTAATTTACTTGTTTTGTTAAATACTGTGATTGGTTTTTTTAATTACTATTTATTTTGTTAACATTAGTGCTTCATTATAGCCCCCTAAAAAATAGTCATTATAATCAATTCGAAAACTAAACAAAACAAAAAGATATGTCTTATAAGCAAACAAAAGAAATACAATACAAATGAACAAAATTTTAAATATCCAATATATTTACCATAATACAACTTATTGAAATGTAGATATATAGTACAGCAAAAACAAGTAATTCCTTTAAAATCACTTTACAACAAATATAATATAATTATAACTAAAATAAATAATACAATCAATATATATATATATATATATATATATATATATATATATATATATATATATATATATATATATATATATAAACGTTAATAATAATACAAATACACGATAAAAATAAATTTAAAATTTCATACAATAATCCAATATAATAATGATATCAATTATGTCTTTCAACCAATATTAATTAATAATTCCACACATTCAATAATAATCAGTAAAATATAAAATTATTAAAAAAAAATTGTATTGTTTTATCAGTAATCACAAAAAAACAAATTCTACGTCTCATAACTTATTAAGATACTATTGTTGACATAATATAATAATAAATTCTACCTGTAACAAACTATCTAGTATTGTTGACATCATACATAATAAATTCTACCTGTAATAAAAGAGTAATATAGTATTGTTGACAGGTAAGTTATCACCTGCACAGCATAACACAGGTGAGGTAGTCCTTCAACCTCAACCTCAATTTTACATTCCATCAGCGTCGATAACGGTAGGCCACGAGTCACGCTAAAGGAGGGGGGGGGTGTTCTACCTCACTTTCGCTCTCTCTCACTTTTTTCCGGGTTTCTCTTTCCTTATCTCTTTTTCTCTGTTGATTTTCTTTTATTCCCTCTCTCTCACTGTCTCACCTTGTCTCCTTTTTTCCTGGGTTCTTATTTCCCTTTCTCTTTTTCTCTCTTTTACTTTAGATCTTTCTCACTCTATCTGTATTGCTTTCCTGTTTCTCTCTATATATCTCCCTTCCTTTACTTTCTCTTTAATGTTCTCTCTCTCTCTCTCTCTCTCTCTCTCTCTCTCTCTCTCTCTCTCTCTCTGTCTCTGGTTACTCGTTAAACAGTCTTGATAAAGCGTTTATATTTTTCGTGTTTTTTCCTCTATTTTCAACAAGCAATTTTTCCATCAGTTTGACAGGTAAGTTACTACATGTTCACCTGTCAAAATACTAACAGGATTTTACTTTCCTGTTGCAGATGGTGTGACGTTTTTTTCCTTACTTAAAACAACGAATAATTGTATAAAATAAAATATATATATTTTTTTTATCTCCCATTTCCCTTTTTAAAGATGCACTTTGTCT